TGAAATGGGAACTGCAAAGGATTTGTCTTGTGATGCAGCACGTTCATAGTCTTCATATATGCTCATGATGAATCGATAAAGAATCTTCATGTAGTTTGGGAGTCCATCGATTTCATTCATATCCCATATGGAAAAACAAACTAAAGTGGATATTAGCGACTGCATCATTAGAGCCCTCGCTTGAAGGAAAGATTACGCGAGTTTTAGAGCATCCTTATTATAGGTGTGTTCCGATATTGAGACACACATTAATATTTCTCATTACGAAAAAAGATGATTCTAGGGACTCATTCGTCTCAAACTCGCCAAACTCAGTTTTAATATCTTGCAAAATTTGTACAAGAGTTGTCCGAACTCTTCGTACAAGAAAGACTTGTCCGAACTCTCTGAGTAACTACAACATTTTCCTTTAAATCCACTTTTTTTTTTTTGGGTATTCGAAAAGGTTAATGAGAAAAGGTGATCATTTTTCCCTTTATCATTTGTTGTATTTTGAAAGGTGACTAAACCAATTCGAACTCAAGTCTATACTTACGTACTCAAGAGATAGATTGATCGAATGTTATCTTAGGGAGCAGCTGTACATTTCGAGCTTCAGTATTCAGTATTCTTACGTTCAAAAAAATGTTTCTAAAAGCATGCAATCGTTGTCGATGATGGCCTATAGATACAACAATTATGCAACACTTGAAGAAGCTCAACTTTTGACCGAGGTATGCACAATCTCATATTAGAAAATAATGTACATTCGTTTCCATTTTGATTCTCTCTCTTATAATGTGTACTTATAGTATATCTCATTAGGAGTATTATTATAATTTTGTTTCTTCATATGGGATATGAATGAAATCCATCGATTCCCAAACTACATGAAGATTCTTTATCGATTCATCATGAGTTTACTACAATTGCAAATGAGAAGGGGTGCAAAATCGAAAACCACAACTTTTTTCTCAACTATAAATATATCCTAAAATTCTCACAGTGCCCTACAATTTCCTCATTCTATATCATATGCTACAGCACGAAATTGAAGAGAAGAAGCTTATACAGATAAATTAAATGGTCAAATGAGATCATACCTAACGTTAGCTCTTCCCTCCTGAAACTTTAGCTCGTCCTGATGGTCACTGCCTTGTCCGCCATTTTCCTGATAACACAATCGACGGAGAGATTCGAATCAATTTCATATATAAAAACTACGTTAAAATCTAGGAAGGTGAGATAGAATGTCGGAATTGAATTACGTTGTGGTTCGAGCAGATTTGCGCCGGCGTCTTTTATGGAGCTGCTCAGTAGTGGCCGAGTGATGTCCTTTCTGCTCGACGGACGTTTTGCTGCTTTCGGGAGAGAGGATTATAACCTAGGGCTTTTTTTGACTGAGATTGAGAGTCGGTCGAAACAGGCTGGCCAAATAATATGTCTTGTGTTTAGTGGGCCTTTTCTGATGGACTATTCAACTCGGTGTTATAGTAGCCCAAGAACCTCAGGTAGAGGCAGGACTAGGGCTGCACATTCGGTTGAAACCGAACCAAACCGAAAACCGAAAATTCGGTTTAACCAGAATTAAAATAAAAAACCGAACTGGAAACTACGGTTCGGTTCTGTTAAAAACCGAAATTTTTCAGTTTATCCCATAAAATAAAAATGGCAAAAACACCAAAACAAACTAAAATGCATAAGAAAACAAATAAAATAAAACAACTTGGCCCAAAACACATGTTTATCAAGTCTTATACATCACATTATGTTCATTAAACATAATGATATAAAAATGGTCACTCACACATAACAATAATAATAAAAAAGAGTCCAATAGAACATTACAAATTATTGCATAATTAAAATTATGTAATATTTTCTTCAATACATGATATACATAGAATTTATAGATAGATACGAGAGCACCTGAGGTGCAGCCTGTTGACAAATAACCAAGCATACAAAAAATAACCAAGCCTGTTGACGAGAGATTCAAATTCAGAAAAAAAAAAAAAAAAAAGTACGAACCTGAGGTGCAGCCCGTACGAGGGGATTTGGGTGGCGAGCTCATTTGAGAAGAGGAGCGTCGGCGTGAGTGACGGCCTGCCGGGTGGAGTAGAGTGTGTGCGGGAGCAGGAGCGACCGAGCGAGGCGATTTCGGATTTCACACTTTAGTGCGCAACGACTTGGGATCTCAGGCTTCAAAGCGCACGCCGATCGATCGAAGATAGGTAGGGTTTTTGAAATTTTCTGGAAGAAGAAGATAGGTGGACGGGCTTTAGTGCTCAGCGACTTGTGCGACTGTGCGGACTGCGGCGGACGGGCGGAGTCACTGAGAAGAAGATAGGTAGGGTTTACCTGGGAAATTTTCAGGAAAATGGAAATTTCTCAATGATAAGAGTACAGACTGCGATCTTATTTTGTGGATTGGTAATTTGAGATTGAGTTGGGTTAATGCTTTAATGGATTGAGTGATAAATTGGATTTGGGTCTATGAAAGATGATTAAATGAGAGATAAATTGGGCCGCCTAAGTTTTGGGCCTTTGGGTTAATACTAATTTACTAATGGATTGTATATTGGCTTTTCTAACATATGTATAATATCGGTTTTTGGTTCGGTTTGGTTAACCGACAAGCTTTAACCAAACTGAACCGAAAACCAAAATATTAAGAAAATAAAAACCAAAAATCGAACTGATTGGTCGGTTTCGGTTTCGGTCGGTTAACTATAGTTTGTTCAGCCCTAGGCAGGACAGTCTAATTAATTTACATTCTTATATCTTATTTAGTCAAGTTATATTTAGTAAACATAATTGATAAACTAATTGATAGCTTATAAATAAATTTGGAATTTATAACTGATAATTTAGGATTAAGATGTTGGCTGGTATGATAAAATTATTTAGAAACGTATGGTTGCAAAGCTAGTTGGTATAATCAAAGTTCTTAGAAAAATTAACTGATAGGTCAGTTGAAATAAAAATCTTAAAGACTTATTCGAGAAGTTAAGTAAGGAAGCTTATGAGATAAGCTCTACATTTTTTAAAAAACTCGTTCTACCAAATCAAGTTTATAAGCTATCAAAAAGTTATAAAATAGCTTATGATACTTTACGAACACACTATTAGTTTATAAGATGTTGTATTTAAATAGGTTTGGTTTTGTATGACATGTTCAAAAGTAATCCGTTGAAAAAAAAAAAAAA